ATAAAAATAAAAATTGGAAAAATGATAATTGCTTGTAAACTGTGTACGAGAGAAAAAAAAATTGAATAAAAAAAATAGTTTTTGTGCAGCAACAACAAAAAATAATATGACACCTATAAAACAACATAAACACAACTTACCGTTAACAAAATAGTTAGAATTAGAACTCTTGTCACCATTCACAATTTAATAAAAAAAGTATTAAAAACAAAAAGGGAACAAATAGAATGTTCAATCAAATTAACCAACATTTAAGCAAAATTTAAAAATTCCAGAACAACAAAATTAATGTAAATAAAACAAAAGGAGAAAACCGAATGTTGAAGGACGGATCGTTTGATGAATTGGGGTGACCCAGACTGTTGGTCGGGCCTAAGGCACCCGATCCCCCGAAGTGTGAACAGGTTGATGCCCAATTTAACGCCACCGCCGGCAGCCAACGCTTCTCAAGGACAAGAACATGGACGTGTAGCCTTGGCTCCAGGCTTTGGGTTCAAAGTTGTTGGGGTCGAACTAGATAGCCCAGCAGCGGCCTCCCACCATGAATTCACCGCTCTGGATGGACTGGTCGGTGCCCAGCCGTGCTTTGTGATGGAGTAGTCTGATGAAAAATCGTGTATCTCGATAACTTAGTTTGCTTCGAAAGTTACTTGCCAGGCTTCCTTCTCGGCGATAGGTTATGGACGACTTGGATTTATCCTTATCTTCTCACGATTTTGAAACAGCTTGGACGTGATATCCTTGTCAAACTCGAGCTTATGACGAACTATACGGTGACACGCCCATTTCGACACAAGGATTTTGTGATAAAACTCTAAGAACTTTAAGAATTCTCGACCTCTTCGAGTACGGAATCCCCAGGGAGATCCCGACAGGCATCGGGAAGCTGAGCCGAGTGGTTTTTTCTAATTTTTGTTGATTTTCTCTGATTATTGTTGAGTCGGAGTGGCTAGAACCGCCGGACGGAGGCTGGAACTGCCGGTATGAGGGCCAACTAACAGAGGCTAGATCTGCCAGCGCCTGGTTAATGGCGGCCTTCGTCGGCTGGTCAACGTTGGCTGTTGACCGACGGTCAACGCCAGTCAACTCCCGGCTATCGGCGGTCAACTGCCGGTCAACATATTTAATAATTATTTAAATAATTTAATACAATTATTATTATTATTATTAAAATAATTTAAACATAATAATAATTATTTTTATTTTTTAATTGTATATATTTTAATTAATTTTCATTGATCTACACAAAATGAATGGTTAGGATTGAGTCTCGTGTACTCATTTTAAGAGTTTCCTCATTTGATCCACCCCTATATATATGTATGTATTAATTATGACAGTTAACTATTACTTTAGTTTATTCAATTATTTTGAATAATTGAAAACCCAAACTGAAAGTGGCTAAATAAATCGAAACACAGAAAATGAAAATCGAACACCAAACCACTACTATAAAATCCAGACCAAATTCAAAATTTTGGTCAATTTCCATGGTTATTTTGGTCCAAATCGATTCCCTTAGTCAATTGCAGACTTTATGAAATCGTCTATAGTATGTTGATACTTGATATGTATACCATCATAAGTACATTTTTGGACATTTATTACATTCGGTTTTGCTATGGATGACTCCACAAG